GCGGATTAAAGCCATATCCTTTTCTGCGTTTTGAAAAAAATATAATAAATAAATAAAAATAAAAAGCTGCACATACACCTCAGCATTATACAGTAAACGCAACAGTAGTCTAAAGCAAACCGAACATATAACTCTTCACGTACAACACCTTACTCTCGTCTAAACCCTAAACCCATCTAAACCCTAAACCCTCAAGTCTGCAGGGGCCGCACCCACCTGCTGCTGTTGCTGCTTCTTCAAGGGATGTTAACATATCTTGCTGCAGCGAAGTTCGATTTTATTATTTTAATTTGTTTTATTTTTATTTAATCTGCTACTCACCACGTCTTTGTTGAGTGTCATTTGTGCTTTCGCTGCTTCTTTTAAGGTATTTACAGCCCCAGTTGTTTGCCTCAACACACAAATTAGGGTTTAGGGTTTAGGGTTTTGCAAAAGTAAACCCTCACGTGTCCAGCTGCTCCACCACCTTGCTCTGCAGATCAAACGTGACGGTTTAGGGTTTAGGGTTTAGGGTTTAGGGTTTAGGGTTTGTGAACGGACCAGTTCTGCGTGTATGGCTTCGACGTCTCTCTTCACAGATGCAGCTGCTTGCAGTGAATCTGAAGAGAGCGTTTAGGGTTTAGGGTTTAGGGTTTGGGTTTTATTTCGTCAAAGGCGTTTGTCGTTCGGCTTACAGTAACTGGCAGCTGCTGCAGCGGACTGAGATGCGCGGTGTAGAGATTAGGGTTTAGGGTCTAGGGTTTAGGGTTTAGGGTTTACAGCAGCATATTACCTTTTTCCTCAGGCCGTCCTGATGAAGCGAATGTTTAGTTCATCAGTAAGGTTCGCATAGGGTTTAGGGTTTAGGGTTTAGGGCTTAGGGCTTAATAGCGATGGTTTAGGGTTTAGGGTTTGGGGCTAGAACGAGGGTTTAGGGTTTAGACGTTTCTAAGAGAGGTTTACTGCTCTTGTTTGGAGCATCCGCAGATAAGAAGGAACAATGTCTGTACACCCCATGGCTTGCCTGCAACAGAGAAATGAGGGTTTAGTGTTTAGGGTTTAGGGTTTAGGGTTTAGTGTTTAGGGTTTAGGGTTTCAGTATTGAATACCGCGTTGCATCTTCGCTCTTTGTGCTCTCCATGAGGTAGGGAATGACGATGTTGCGGCAGATAGATTTAAAGGTGGGGTCCCTGACAACTGCAAACCCTAAACCCTAAACCCTAAACCCTAAACCCTAAACCCTTACTGGTAGGATATTTCTTGCAGTAGGCAGAAAACCCTCCATCGACGCAGAAGCTCTTCTTATATCCTGAGCAGAGGAGGCAACCAAGTGCAACAAACAAGGATTAGGGTTTAGGGTTTAGGGTATATTCGCACTCACACACAAGCATATATATACATTATATATATAGAAATATATATATATATATATATATATAGCACTGACCTAGCACCTTAACTGCAACGAGTTGACAGGCATTAAATGTTTCCTGAAGGTGAAAGGCGTTGAATTGCAGATAAATAAACCAAAAAAATCAAAAACAAAAAATAAACAAAAACAAACAAAGATATTCACCGCCAGTCGCCTGCAATCGGTCATCTCTCCTCTGCTAAAATTACGCAGTTCAAACCCCGTTGCCGTCTCCTGGTTGCCTGAAGCTGCAAACACATTCAAGCCTTAATCACTAGCTAGCTAGCTAGCTAGCTAGATAGATAGATAGATAGATAGGTAGAATAGCTAGTAGCTATCTAGCCCCCGGCTAGCTTAGAGTCAGACTCACCAGCTAGCCATCTAGCTAGCTAGCTAGCTGGATAGCCTGATGGTTAGGTAGCTGGGGGGCTTTGGAAGGAGACGGTTTATTACCTTTGTCTGAACGAAGGTGAGAAGACTGACAGAAGGCCTCGGGATCGAGAATAGTGTTTGCTGTTCTGTTGAAAGAAGTGCAAGTCGCGTGGGTAGCAGAAAGAAGAGAAGACTGCTGGCAAGTGCGGATAAGGGAGAAGAAAAGAGATAAAGACTGTGAACAGCTCTGAGTTGCTTCGTATTCAGTAAACTGCAGCGTGCACAGAGGAGCCGCCACCTCCTTGTAGCAGTTCTGCGAGTGAAAATAGAGAGTAAAAAACAATGAAAACGCAAACATAATAAATCATTTAAACAAATCTACCAATTCAGGTTTGTTGAATGCCAGAAGCGTCGCCTGAAACAAATTTTATATTCATATTCAACTTCAAATTCACGATGTGGCGGTATGCGGCCAAGAGGCGCTGAAATAAACTCCAAAAGAAATAAACAAACCTCTCCTATTCCTTTAACTGAACGACAATCCTGATAGCAACAGGAAATGCATTTCGTGGGTAATATTGTTATTGCAAACTCCGTAAAAGTCTGCGGGGGTCTGCGTACTTCTGGCAGCTTCAACTTCAGAAAGCGATCGCCGTAGCTGCTGATCCCTGAGCTCACGTAGCGGCATACGGCTTCCTAAGTAAAAAAGTGATTAAAAATAGCTCTTTTGAGGTTCAATCCAACCAATATGTACCACGTTCCCCAGGGGAGATGTCGGTTCTGTTGCAAATGCGGAGGGAAGAATGCATAAAACGGCAAACACTCCCTTTCTCATCTTGTAAACTTTTATAAATAAGGAGTACTTTAAGGTCTCTCTGCTGTTTTCTGTGAGGAAAGCACCAAAACTCAAGAACTTCCTGTGAGGCCCTTCGGATGTGCAAAATGGGTGGACCTGCGCATACACCCGAAGTGTTGGGGGTTATTCCTTGGAAACCACTGGTAAATCCGTTTCATTTTTCCTATTCTAGAGGTATTTCAATTTGAATTTTGTTTTGTTATCTCCTGACCGGCAGTTCGCGGCAAACGATCTCCACAACATGCGCACGAGTATTCAATGAGCGATCGAGTGACCTTAGGCGGTTGTTTCAGATTGAATTATCATCTACTGTTTTGACTCCTTAAGGCAAATGGACAATATAAATGCAATTCTTTATTTTATTTTGTGTGTATTCTTAAAATACGGCGCTTCCACTCTATCGCTGCTCTTTCATACCAAGGCATTTTCTCGTTTCGCCTGCAGCCTGGTGGTGCAGGGGCTGCTGAGCCCTCCTTCTTCGTGGGACTGAAGGAGAATGGCTGAAGAAGGCAGAGCAGATCTGACGAGGGTTTTAGAAAATTTTTTATTGGAGATCTGACTGAGACATCTTTTTCTGCTCTTCGGCTGCAACGTTGGCCTGGGGGAACTCCCTACTTCTTTATGAATTTGCAAAGACATCGAGCGGGCTCTCTCTCTGTTGCTGCTTCTGCTGTCGCTGCTGCTGCTGTTACTGTTACTGGATGCGTCAACTTCACAGCTTCATTTGAGTTGCAGTTGTTCTCATTACCACAATTAGACTGTCTTCAGCTCCAGGGCAGATGGGCTTCGAGCAGCAGCAGCAGCAGCACAGGAAGCAAATAACACCAAGAATCGACGCTCTTAAGCTTGCAACGTACCAGCAGCAGCAGCAGCAGTAGCATCAGCAGCAACAGGAGCAGCATCAGCAACAACGGGAGCAGCTTCCCCCTCCTCCAGGCGCCTGCGTGTTGAAGTTGCAGCTTATCTCTACCCAGCTTCTCTCTTGCTCTTGCCCTTATTGTCGCCTACTGCTGCTGCTGTTGCTGCTGCTGCTGTTGCTGCTGCTGCAGTAGGCCAATGAAGCCGCAAGAAGATGCCCCTGCAGCGAAGGAGGGAGAGCGGCAGGCGCCCAAAGTAACGGGCCTCAAAGCGCAGGTGGGCAGACCCTGGCACTGATTTATTATTTAAGATTTTTATTTTTATTATTATCTTTTTATTGCAAGATTGCTGTTGTTTATCTACTTTCAAGGGTTAAAACAAGAACAGTAAATAATATAATGCAATAGAGAGAGAGAGGAAGAGACAGAGACGGATAAAGAAAGACAAATATCTATGCGCAAGAAGCAAAAGAAAAATAATAAAAAATTTTGTTGCTGCAATCCATAAAATTATTTTTTGTGTTTTTTTGTCTGCATTTGTCTGCAAATTCACTGCGAGAGTCTTTGCCTTCATTTTATTTTATTTGTATATATCGCTGCTTCGGTTTATTTGTCTCTCCTCTTCTCTGTGTTATCCCTATCTTTGTTTATTATTATCTTTCAGTCAGGATTTATTTATTTTATCTTTTGCTGCTGCTGAGGTGTATATACAGCAGACGGTCGTTTGCTTGCCGCCTGTACACTTTCGCATGCAGATACTTGGGGTGTATGTGCACTGTAAAGGTGTTTATTAAATAAGAAGTAAACAAATAAAGAGATTGATATAGACGTAAATATAAAAATATTTCTATTGATGCATGTGAATACGAATAGTGCGTAGCTGCGCATGCCGTTGGAGTGCACAGACGCAGTTATTGGAGTGTATAGGCATCTGGGGTGTACATGCAGGTCTTGGGGCTTGCACATGTAGGTATTGGGGTGTATATGCAGGTCTTAGGGTATATATATATAGATATGTAGGTATTGGGGTGTATATGCAGGTCTTAGGGCTCTCTGAAAAGCTGAATGCAGCGCTGAACAGCAGCAGTTTTGAAGTTAGTACGGTGGTTTGCGAAGAGACAGAGGCTGGGGCTGCTGAATTGAGCTTCTTACTGGAGAGTCTACGGCAAACAATGAACGACGAAATTAATAAATTAAAAGACGACTTCTTGCTGCAGGCCGAGCTGCAAACCAAAGAAAACTCGCGGTTCAGGGCTCTTCTTAAAGACACTCAAACAGAGACAGACGCAATCAGAACACAGATATTAGCAGCAAAAAAACAAATTGAAAGGCTTGAAGCAGAAATAGGCTCCGGATAAAACCCTAAACCCTAAACCCTAAACCCTTAAGTGGCTTCAGCGCCAAGCCTCCTTCTTGCAAAAAGAAAAAACGCATTCAGCCTCAAGGCTCTCAAAACCGCGACGCTAAGATTGTTTTTCTTGGGGTAGACGAGAGCCCTGACGGTTTAGGGTTTAGGGTTTAGGGTTTAGGGTATAGGGTCGCACGACAGAGACCGCCATGCTGCAGCCAAGTGCTGCTGCAGCAGCAAACGATAAGAATTAGCTTCCAGCTGCTGCGTTACGCTTTGGGTGTTGTCTAGCAGCAGCAGCAGCAGCGCAGCAAGCTCGTGGGGGCACTGAAGCATACAAACCACAAACCCTAAACCCTAAACCCTAAGCCCCAATTCCTAAACCTCAAACCCTAAACCCTTATCTACCCAAACCCTCAAAATCTAAATCCTATACCCCAAACAGAAACACCCAGAGCCTAAACATTAAATTCCAAACCCTAAACCCTAAACCCTAAACCCCAAGCCCTAAACCCTAAACCCTAAACCATCCGGCCGAGGACAGCCACTCATATATCCAACCTTTGCACCCAAACAATGGGGGTTTAGGGTTTAGGGTTTAGGGTTTAGGGTTTACCGTGAAGGCGTCGCCAGTTTCTAAAACGCGGTGTTGGTAGAATGGACCTGCGCAGCAAACCCCAAACCCTAAACCCTAAACCCTAAACCCTAAACTCAAAACCACCTATGCTAAACCCTAAACCCTAAACCCTAAACCCTAAACCACATACGCTAAACCCTAAGCGACTGACAAGAGCAGAAACGGGGCAGCACAAGAAAGCGGCTCCAGCGGCTGCAACGCGTGGCTTGTTGCTGCTGCTCCTGCTGCTGTTGCTGCTGCGGCTGCTGCAGTGTTTGCTGCTGGTGCTGCTGTTGTTGCTGCTGCAGCAGCAGCTGCTGCTGCTGCTCGTTATACAGCTGCAAAGCTGTCCCCCCACAAACCACCGCCGCAGAGTCCTCGCCTGGGTTTACACCCGATTGGTGCTGCTGCTGCTGCTGCAGTGTTTGCTGCTGCTGCTGCTGCTGCTGCTGCAGCTGTTTGAAAAACCTCTGGTTATATTGAGTGGCCTCGCTAACTTCGCGGGGCCTCCGAGAGCTGCTGAAGGAATGAAGATGACTAAGGGAAACCAGACAAAAGCTGCTGCTGCTGCTGCTGCTGCTGTTGCCGCTGCTGCTGCTGCTGCTGCTGCTGCTGCTGCCGCTGCGGAGCTGGGCGCTGCTGGTGGCGCTACTTTTGCAGTTGCAGGTGTTGTTGCTGCTGCTACTATGTGTGCAACGAGTGCAGCCAGGAGGAGCAGCAGCAGCAGCGTCCGCAGCAGCAGCAGCATCAGTAGCAGCAGCAGCAGCTGGAGCAGCAGCGTATCGTTGTATTTGCTTCTTTTCAATTAGAAGAAGGGCCTCAGATAACATCAAACGCGGGGCCAGCCGATCCAGCAACGGGAAAAGCAGCGAAAAAGAAACAGACGCTGAGAGGTAGCAGCAGCAGCAGCAGCAACAGCAGCAGCAGCAATAACAGCAGCAGCAACAGCAGAAAAAGCACGCACAGCAGCAACAGCAGCAGCAGCAGCAGCAACAGTAGCGACAGCAGCAACAACAGCATGCCTAAACGCCACCATGTAGATGGCAGTCGTTGCACTGCAGCAGCGAATATACAATAGCTGGCTGTTGCGCGTCTAGGGTTTAGGGTTTAGGGTTTAGGGTTTAGGGTTTACTGCCTGATGCTGCGTCATAGAGCGCCTGAAGGGCCCGAGAGAATTCCAAAAGTTGAAGGCAGCGGCCGTCTGCTGCTTCCTGCGTTGCTGCTGCTGTTGTTGCTGCTGTTGCTGTTGCTGCTGCTGCTGTTGCTGCTCCTGCTGTTGCTTGTGTTGCTTCTGCTGTTTCTGCAGCAGCAGCAGCAGCAGCAGCAGTTCCTTGGGCTTCTCCCGTTCTGTTGTGCTCTTCAAATGAAGCCATCGTTACGGGCTGGGGTTTAGGGTTTAGGGTTTAGGGTTTGAGTGGAAGACAAGGACCCCCCAGTCGCGTGTCCCAGGACACACACCCTAAACCCTAAACCCTAAACCCTAAACCCTCGACGGAAGACTTTAAAGATTTCATTTTAAGAGACATAAAAAGATATTTCAATGCCGAAACACTTCAACAAAACTTCAGCAGAGTTGGGGGCCCCCCGGTGGTACCCAGGGGCCCCGGGGGCCCCTTAATAGGGTTTAGGGTTTAGGGTTTGATGCCTTCTGAAGCTTTCTCGACCTTTTCTCTGGAAGACAGCTGCTCTTTCGCCAGTACACCCTAACAGATGGTGGTTTAGGGTTTAGGGTTTAGGGTTTAGGGTTTAGGGTTTAGGGTTTAGGGTTTATGGCTCAGCAGGACGGCGGCTGCGCCCTCTTGGGGGTTTCTCTCCCAGCGGGAGAAACAAAAGTTTTGCAGCAGCAGCTGCTGGCAGCAGCGCAGCAGAGCAGCAGCAAGGAGAGGCAGCAGGCCTTTGCTGCTGTTGCTGCTACTGTTGCTGCTGCTGCTGCAGCAGCAGCAGCAGCAGGAGAGTGCCACGCTCATGCAGCTGCCGTTGCTGCAATCCACATAGGTACGGGATTCAACTTCCTGCAGCAGTTGCTGCTGCTGCAGTTGCTGCTGCTGCAGTTGCTGCAGTTGCTGCAGTTGCTGCACTTGTGTCTCCTCTGCTGCTGCGGTGTTGTTGCTGCTTTTCCTGTACACTAAACCCTAAACCCTAAACCCTAGATATAAGCCCTAGGCCTAATGCGTAAACCCTAAACCCCGGTGTATATAAACCCCCCGCCTTGGAGACTACCGCTACGCCCTAGGCCTAAACTCTAAACCCTAAACCCTAGATATAAACCCTAAACCCTCGTTTTAGGGTTTGTTGCGTTCAGCTGGGAGCGAGGAGCTACGGCGACATCAAGACAGCAGCCATTTGCTGCTGCAGCAAATTGCTGCTGTGGTGCTGCCTGCTCTCTTTGCTGCAGCAGCTGCTGCTAAAGACCCTACCAAAGCAGCAGCAGCAACAGCAACAGCAGCAGCAGAAGGAAACACGGTAGCAGATCTAGCAGCAAGAGCAGCAAAGCCACGAGAAACAACGGCAGCAGCAACAGCAGCAACAGATCCAACAGTCACAGCAACAACAGCAACAGCAACAGCAGCAGCAACAGCAAATGCAGCAGCAGCAGCAGCAGCAGCAGCAGCACAACAAACGGCAAAGCTTTTCCTCACTGCTGCAGCTCCATTCGGCTATCTGCTGGAAGTAGAGGTGCGTCGAGAGTTTAGGGTTTAGGGTTTAGGGTTTAGGGTTTAGGGTTTCGACTGGCGTTTCTCTTTCCTCACACTAACAGTTTTTGGGGTTGTGGAATTGTGGTTAGGGTTTAGGGTTTAGGGTTTGGGGTTTAGGGTTTAGGGTTTAGGGTTTAGGGTTTGGGGTTTAGGGTTTAGGGTTTAGGGTTTAGGGTTTAGGGTTTAGGGTTTGTGTGCAGCGGTTCCAAGTGCGGCGGTTGCTGGCTAAGTCACTCATTGACAGCGGGGTGCGGCAGCAGCAACAGCAGCACCAGCAGCAACAACAACAATAGCAGCAACAACAGTAGCAGCAACAACAGCAGCGACAGCAGCAGCATTAGGGATAGCAGCGACCGCAGCAACAGCAGCAGGAGCAGGATGAGCAGGCCCAAGATTAGCAGCAGCAGCAGCAGCAGCTGTTTGCAAACCTTCCCGCTCTTATGACTCTCTTTGTGCTGCTGCTGCTGCTGCTGCTGCTGCTGCTGCGCAGGCATTCCTGGAGGCCGCTGAATTTCTGAATTCGCTGGCGACAGAATCTTTCGCGTGGGGCTGCTGCAGCTGCTGTTGCTGCCGCTGTTGTTGCTGCTGTTGTTGCCGCTGCTGTTGCTGCTGCTTCTGTTGGTGCTGTTGTGGCTGCTGCAGCCGCTGCTGTTGCTGCTGCTGCTGCCCTCCTAACGCCATTTCTGCAACTGCTGCTGCTGCTGCTGCTGCTACTCTTCCTACTCCTGCTGCAGTTACTGCAGCTGCTAGTCCTGCTGCAGTTGCTACTACTACTACTACTACTACTGCAGCAGCAGCAGCAGCAGCAGCAGCAGGTGTTTGTTTTATTGGTTTTGCTGCAGGCGTATAGGGGGAGAAGAACGCATCGAAGTAATTCTCTTAGCTGCCGGTACTCAGCACATTAAATTAATTAATTAATTAAATTAAATTAAATTAATTAAATTAAATTAATAAATTAAATTAATTAAATGAGTGGATGGTGGATAGACAAAAACAGACAAACAAACAAAACAAATAAAAATCAAACGAAGGGAGATATAAATAATGCAGAAATAAACAAATAAACAAATAAATAAACATATACTTCGCTTCTGTCATGCTGCTGCTGCTGCTGCTGCTGCTATTGCTGCTGCTGCTGCTGCTATTGCTGCTGCCGCTTCTGTTATTGCTGCTGCTGCTGTTGCTGCTGCTGCTGCTGCTGTTGCTGTTGTTGCTGCTGGTGCTGTTGCTCCTGCTTCTGTTTCCGTTGCTGCTGCTGCTGCTGTTCCTGCTTGTGTTTCTGTTGCTGCTGCTGCTATTGCTGCTGCTGCTGCTGCTGCTGCTGCAGAGGCCTACATTCTAGGGGGGGAGTTTGCATTGGCTGAGCCCTTTGCAACCCATGCTGCTGCCTTTGCTGCTGGAAGTAAAAACCCTGCACTTAAACAAAAGCTTGCTGTACGACTCTCTTCTTCTTCTTGCTGCTGCTGCTGCTGCTGCTGCTGCTCGCGTTGCTACTGGGTGCTGCTGCTGCTGCTGCTCGCGTTGCTACTGGGTGCTGCTGCTGCTGCTCGCGTTGCTACTGCTGCTGCTGCTCGCATACCACCGCTTTTGCTGCTGCTGGTGCTCGTGTTGCTACTGCTGCTGCTGCTGCTGTTCGCGTTGCTAGTTTTGCTGCTGCTGCTGCTGCTTGTCGCGTGTTTCGTAATGCTGCTCTTTGTTGCTGTTTGTGTTGTTTGCTGCTGCTGCAGCTGCTGCAACTGCAGCTGCTGCAATTCCGCGGCAAATGGGCGGAGGCAGCAACGCGGTCCGTTCGGGAGAATGTTGCTGCTGCTGTTGCTGCTGCTGCTGCTGCTGCTGCTGTTGCTGCTGCTGCTGCTCTATCTGCTACACTTCGTGTTGCGTTCGCTTCTGCTGTTGCTGCTGCCGCGAGTGTTTTTTTGCTGCTGCGGCTGCTGCTGCTGCATACTTAGGAGATAACTGCTGCTTCTTTCTGCTGCATCTTCATGTTGGTTTGCTGCTGCTGCTGCTGCTGCTGCTGCTGCTGCAGTCTCTACGACCTATCTAAGGAAGAAGAAGAAGCCGCAGAAGATGCATACGGCGTACATACACCCCACCACAAGCATATCGGTTGAAGGCTCTCTATTCTTGTTTATGTCGTTGCTGCTGCTGCTGCTGCATTCACTCCTGCTGCTGCTGCTGCTGCTGCTGCTGCTTCAGGGAAGCGAAGGGAGGTCTCGTTTGCTGCTGCTGTCTCTCTTCTGCTGCCTCCTTTCGCCTGACGGACCGCAGCAGCAACAGCTGCAGCAAACTATACTTCAGGCAAGCTGCTGCTGGTGCAGCCGCTGCTGCTGCTTGTTCTGCTGCTGCTACAGCTGCTGTCTATGCTCAGAATGATATGCTGCTGCTGCAGCTGAAGCAGCAACCCCTGACGGATTTAGGGTTTGGGTTTTATTGTGAGGTTTATGTCTAAGGGTTTAGGGTTTAGGGTTTAGGGTTTAGGGTTTAGGATTTAGGATTTAGGGTTTAGGGTTTAGGGTTTAGGGTTTGCTGCAGGACAGTCGTTTTAAGGGCAGCAGCTGGCTGTCTTTCTTTGAGCGAATATCGAGAGAGAAATTCATTTCGAAGGAAGACGCAGAGACAATCACCAGTAAACCCTAAACCCTAAACCCTAAACCCTAATCCGTAAACCCTAAACCCTAAACCCTCGTTTGTAGAGTACCTGCTGCTGTTGCTGCAGCAGCCTTTCGAGACTTCTCTCCTCTGCTTAGCGTATCTAATAGAAATAGGCTTCAGCAAAAAGGGTTTAGGGTTTAGGGTTTAGGGTTTAGGGTTTACGGTGTGCTGCAGACACAATGGCTGTTGAAGGCCAAATAGCATCTGCAGTGAAGACCGCAATTCGTCAAAAAAGTTTGCCGCTGCTGATGCTGCTGCCTGTGCTGCTGCTGCTGCTGCTGCTGTCGTTGCTGTGCTGCTGCTGCTGCTGCTGCTGTGGCTGCTTCAAGCGCTGGCGCTGCTCGTGCTGCTTTTTTCGTGGTTTTGTTGCTTCTGCTGCTGCTGCTGCTTGCGGTGTTGCTGCATCTGTTGTTTTTGCTGCTGCTGCTGATGTTGCTGCCGCTGCACTTTATTCTGCTGCTGCTCCTCCCTGCCGTTTTGCTGTTGCTGCTGCTGCTGGCGCAATAATGCTGCTGCTACTGCTGCTGCTGCTGCTGCTGCTGCAGACTTGTGCGCGTTGTGCTGTCTATACAGCTCCTTGCCCTTGTCGCGGCTTGCTGAGGCTCTTCAACTAACAGAAGAAGAGGTGCGTAAACCCTAAACCCTAAACCCTAGACGTCTGGAGGAAGCAGGGTTCGGAGCTAGGGTCTAGGGTTTAGGGTTTAGGGTTTATGCTTTTCAGGCTGAAGAGTTCGCCTTCGACTTGTTGGCCTCGGAAAGAATCGTGAGCTGCAGCTGTCGCTGCTGTTGCTGCTGCTGCTGCTGCTGCTGCTGTTGCTGCTGCTGCTGCTGCCATTGCTGTTGGTGCAGCTGCTGCAGCTTATGTGCTTGCCTAATTGAACTGCTTTCATTTCTGTCTCCTTTTGCTGCTTCACCTGTTGCTGCTGCTGCTGCTTCTTCTGCCGTTACTTTTCCTGCTGCTGCTGCTCATGCTGCTGCTGCTGTTGCTGTTGCTGCTGCTGCTGCTGCAGAAAGGGCGAATTGATGGAGAGCGGCGAGTGCTTCGCGTCTTTAGCGGTGAGTTAATTTCAGAGCAGTTAAAGCTTAGGGTTTAGGGTTTAGGGTGTAGTGTTTAGGGTTTTAGGGTTTAGGGTTAAGCGTTTAGGGTTTGGGGTTTAGGGTTTAGGGTTTAGGGTTTAGGGTTTAGGGTTTGGGTGTGCTGCAGCAGAAACGGAGTCTTGTAGGTGGGGCGACTTCGCATTAAATCTCTTCACCGATTTACACCGCCTTGCAGAGGCCCTCGACAGCTAAATCCTAAACCCTAAACCCTAAACCCTAAAGGGGTTTAGGGGTTTGAAGTAAACCCTTCTTGTCTTGAGACTCCCCAGCCGACATGCTTTTCAATGCCTAGGGTTTAGGGTTTAGGGTTTAGGGTTTAGGGTTTGAATGTGCTACATACTTCATACTGCAAAGCCCTAAAGAAATGTTTCGCATCGTTCTTTCCTAAACCCTAAACCCTAAACCCTAAACCCTAGGCCTTTGCTTCTAGGCCTCAAGTCGCTACCTCTAAAGGCTTGATCCTCCCTTTTAACCCCTAAACCCTAAACCCTCATATCTAAGCCCAAACCCTCACCTCTGAACCCTAAACCCTCATAGAAACCCCAAACACTAAACCCTTGTGCCTTGCTCGACTAAACCCTAAACCCTAAACCCTAAACCCTCATTATGCTGCGATGCAGCAAGCACAAAGCAGCCACATCTTCATTGGATTGGCTTAAGCACACTGCTCTCCTTTCTAGGGTTTAGGGTTTAGGGTTTATTTATACTATAATAGTGCTGTGCTTATTTATTAGGGTTTGCTGCTAGCTATAGACAGTATTTGTTAAGCTAAACTTTGAACATCAATAATCAGTTCGCCGGCGCTTAATGCTGCTCAGGGTTGTTTTAGGGATGCATATTGCCTAGTCTAGGGTTTAGGGTTTAGGGTTTAGGGTTTAGGGTTTAGGATGAGGTGTCTGTACACCGCAGCAGGGAGCGCTGGGGCTTCTTGCGCGGTTATTTTTTCTGTATTTTTATTTGTTGTTAGTTTAATAGAAATAAAATAAATTAATTTGTTTTATATTTTATTATTTCAATTATCTTATTTGCATATCTTCCGCTTCCAGGTAAGCTACTGCTGCTGCTGCTGCTGCATGCGGCGGTCGCAGCAGCAGCAGCAACAGCAGCAGTAGTAACAGCAGCAGCAAGGATTAAAGCAAAGTAGGGTATAGAGGGTTTTATTTAGGCGAACGTCCCTTAAAAGGTTTTATCTTTTTTTATTTCTATTAATAGGTTTAGCTGTCTCTCTTTAATCTGCTTGCTGCAGCAGCGCAGCTGCTCCGCTGCTGCTGCTGCTGCTGTCTGTCTGTACAGCTCAGCTCGTGAGGCTGCCTGCTGCCTCACCGCCTTGGGGTGGAAGACAGGCAGCAAGACGATCAGCAACGCATGCAGCAGCCATAACAACTGCAGCAGCAGCAACAGCAGCAGCAGCCGCAGCAGCAC